TGGATGGAAATAAAGCATACATGAATATTTTGTTAAAATATCGATTACATTAACCTTCATATTTCCCATATCGCGACACATTATCGTTATACGTTAGCATTTTACGAACATAAAAATTAATGAAAAACACGCGGTCATATACACGCTCTTCTATATGTTGTTTTTGAGAAAAAAATCTGTCCCGTTTTACAGAAGGATATACAATATGAAGATTTCGTAAATTTTTTATAGGTGTAATTTGTCAGAGTTGTAGCTGATTTCAAGTGGTAGACCTAATTTGCTGCGATATTATCGTTCTAGCACGAATGGGTCGGCTCTACTGGGTAAGAACGTCAGCGTAAATAGCCACTTAATGCTGCTGTGTTCCGTATGATGAGTGTAGACAACCGGAGACTCTTTTTACTAGGAAAGAGGCATTCCATCTTAGTCCTCACGGTTGACAACGCATCTGCATTTTGATCCACAAATACATACAGATGTCTATGATCTACAGCAACCACTTACCATCAGTTGGACTGTGTGCTCGCTTGTCACCCTTATCCTATAATAAAATGTATCTATGGGCCACAGAATCTGCTATCAGATGGACCGTGTGCTCTTTTGTCACCCTTATTCTATTTAAAACAAGTTGCCTGACTCCCATAAAAACGGTAAGAGATTAGAGTTATCGATACAGACTCTCTTATTGAGAAAGAGAGCTTAAATTTATACACATTTTAAATAAAAAAATTAAGTATTTAAGTGTGTAGTGACGGCAAAAGAATATCCACTACCCTATTACGTCCTGTAGGTGACGTAAAAAGTGGCTTAGCAATGAGTTGCAGCTCTGAGAGACGCGGGTTCAAATCCCGCACGGAATAAGCATTTCTATAGCCTTCAATTAACAGTCTCGACGACACAGGAGAAAATCTTAGTGTGGGGTAACATTTTTAAAAACAAATAAAATGAAAATATCTCAGAATTAATAAATGTAGCTTGTATGGCAATCCTTTGTGAGGAAAAATATGAGGGGACTTAGATAAAACATTGCTGATCGCATGAAATATCAATAGAGACAATTTTCATGAGTCATCGAAAATGTATGGAAGTAAAATTGCTTTCGGTTCGAATTATGAGGAGATATTATTAGGCTATTGGCCCAGTCCGAGTATTTCTGATATTTTATTGTCTTGTTACTATACATATTTCCCTGAAGTCTTGCTGAGATTATTTGGGGAAAAAATAGTTTATGGCTGCTACACGAATAGATCTCGACCGGGGCAAAAAGTTTTAGATACATCTATACTCAATTAAGAATCAAAATTTGATAAGTTACCCCGAAGAACTAAAATGCAATACCTCGTTTTCAGTTAAAAGGGTCTCCGGTTTTCTACACTAACAAAAGAAAACATAGCAGTATTAATCTGCTATATCATGCCTGATATTCTATGAGAGCAAGGTCCTTCCCATTGCCGACCCATTCGTGCTGCGACCATAATATAGCTGCAGCTTTCCTTTACCACCTATAGATAATAAACTTTTCTTTATTGTTCTCTGTAAAGGCCTTCGAATTGTTGTCAATGCCTTAAAGTTGACTGGCAGAGAATGTTTTTCATTAAGTCCGCCTTTTGATCCTATACTACGTATATAATGTTCAGTAAACAATAAATAAATAAATAAATTAATTTTTTACGATGTACATATCATTGTTTGGGAAGTACATTCTCAGATTCACTCACTTTAATAAGCTAGAGTAACGACTTAGTTTTTTTTTATAGGATAGGATGACAAACGAGCACACATTTCACCTGATGTTAAGCGGTTGCTGTGACCCATAGACATCTACATCTATCCTCGATAAAGAATCAAAATGCAGATGCGTTGTCATCCGTGAGGACTAAGATGGAATGTCTCTTTTTCAGTTAAAAGAGTCACTGTTTCTTGTTCCCGATAACAAATGAAAATAATAAAAAACTGCGATTGCACACCTTCTCGCCAAGCGTGGCAACTATGGCTAAATTACCCCATGAGGCAATCTATGAGGGAGGCCTATGTTCAGCAGTGGACTTTTATAGGATGTAATGGATGGTAGTATCAAGTTGTTTACAATTATGAATATGTTTCGTTGCTGTTTGAGTTTGACAATATTGAAAAAGTTCTGCCTAGAACTATTCATATTCTCCCTGAGTGTAGACACTCACCATACGAAACACAGCAACCTTAAGCTGGTATTTTACGCTGGTATTCTGAGAGAGCGTGGTCCTTCCCCGGTCGAGCCGACTCATTCGTGCTACAACTATACTACTAATATAACTGCATCGTGGCCCTACCATGTATAAGACAACACATGTAGGAAATCAATGGATGCAGGTGGCTCGGGATAGTACTTTATGGTATTCCTTGGGGAGGGCTATGTTCAGTAGAGGAGTTGTTAAAAAATAAATGCTATAATAATGATAATGACTAATAAAGTTAATTCTCGTTTGACCATTTTAATGTGCACACATAGTCCTGTTACAATTTATTTATTTATTTATTTATTTATTTAGAAAAAAAAATACACAATCAACAAATTAATATACAACGTACGTATGTATTTAGGAAATCTAGGCGATAAGTGTGCTTTTCTGCTTAGTATTACATGCGAGTCCTCTTGTCCATTTGACCTTTTTTTATAGGATAAGGGTGACAAACGAGCACACAGTCCACCTGATGGTAAGTGGTTGCTGCGGCCCATAGACATCAACATCTATCCTCCATTAAAAATCAAAATGCAGATGCGTTGTCACCCGTGAGGACTAAGATGGAATGCCTCTTTGCCAGTAAAAATGGTCTCCGGTTCTCTACACAGCAGCGTTAAGCTGCTATTTTACGCTAATATTCTGTGAGAGCGTGGTCCTTTCCCGGTCGAGCCGACCCATTCGTGCTAGAACTAAACTACTAATATAGCTGCAGCATGGCTCTACCACGTAAAAAACCTCTTGTCCATTTGACCTCTTGTCCATTTCTGCCTCCAAGCAGCACTGCTGCACCTGCACAGCTGTACTCCGGTCTGAAGAAAGCCAGTATAATTACATACAATCCTAGGATATTTACAGACTGTGGTACATTCTATTACCACCTGTAGCCTTCTTTGTTTATAGTTGGTCGCAGGTGACAATGGGCGGTAGATACGTACCATCAAATGGGCTGTAAGTTTATTAGTCACATCAATTTTATAAATAACTAGCTGACCCGCGAACTTCATACCGCCGAACAATCGATTCTATAATTTTTTTTTTAATACTTATTCTGCTATTCGGGACACCGGGTCAGCTACTAAGATAAAAAAAGAAAAAAGAAAGCTTTATGGTATGGTATTAAAGTTCAAATTGACTTTTAAGTATTATTACGAATCTTTTGTATGGGAATATAGAAAAGTGTTGTTTTTAGAATTTTCCATGGCAATTTTTTAAATTTTTCTCTCCTTAAGAACCATCTTCGTACTTCAAGGAATATTATAAAAAAAGAATTAGCGAAATCGGTTCAGCTGCTCTCGAGATTTGCGCTTAGCAACACATTCAGCGATTCCATTTTATATTATAGACAATCGCCACTCGTACAAATGTAAACTGAAAAATAAAACGTTAAAACAGCGCTAATTTTAAAAAGGTTATTTTGCTTATCAAAAATGTAGTTGCGTCACATATTTTACGGAATAATAATAACTAGGGCTTTAAAGTAACTATTAAACTTCACCTTTGTAGTCAATCCAAAAGTATACGGAGAACATGCTATGTTGGGTACGTAGCGAGTGTAAACAAAGCGCAAGGCCATTTATTAATTAGAATAAGGGTGACATACGTAGGTCACTCAATAAGTTTTGAGATATACAAAAAGTTTTCTACATACTATTAATATTTATTTTACATCTTTTCTAATTTTTCTCCATAATGCTATATACAAAGTTCCATTCGCCTAAACCAACTCTGAAAACACTTCTGCCTGTCTTGATCTGACAGATCGGAAATCGCATCTTCGTAGGCAGCCACGGCTTCTTCGGCGCTTGAAAAAAACTTGCCTTTTACTTTTTTTTTTGACTCTTGGAAACAAAAAGAAATCACAAGGAGCTAAGTCGGGGCTGTAGGGTGGGTGACTTAGAGTTTAAATATCAGATTCCTCAATAAATGCTTTTGTTCTAAGGGAGGTATGTGAAGAGGCGTTATCGTGATGCAGCACGATTCCCCGAAGCCCCGTCTTTGGTTTTCTCTCCCGCACAGTTTGAAAAGTTTTGGGTAATGCAAATGTAGTATACCATTCAGAGTTGACTGACCTAAAATTTTCCAGCATTGATGTCGACAAATGTCTGCTCCGCGAAAAAAACTATATATAACTAGCCACCATTTCTTTTGCCGACGTTTCGAGGTCTTTCCAGTTGTTTCGGGACTGTCCTTTTGAGTAGATCCATACCGATGATTGCCTTTTATTATCCGGATCATATTAATAGAACCATGTCTCGTCACCAGTAACGATTTCTGAAACACGCCTAGATGCCCCGTTTTCAAAACGTAGTCGCATTTCATGGCACCAATCCACAACAGTCTGTTTTTCGCTTTCGGAGAGCAAACGAGGGATCCATGAACAGCAAAGCTTTCTCACTCCAAGATCTTGATGTAGAATGGTATGAATGCTCCCCGAACTAATACCTACAATCTTTTCGATGTCCGTATGTGATTCGTGAGTCTTCTCCCACCAACATATCAGTAGTTCATACATTTTCTGCCGTTACTGCTGTTTGCGGGGCCCCGGTTCTTTGGTCATCTTTAAGATTAATTTTACCTCTTTTGAATTCAGCAAACCACCTACAAATTGTTGCGCGTGATGGAGCTGAGTCCCTAATGCTGACTGTAACCGTTGTAAACTAAATTGTTCGGTTAAACAGAACTTAAAATGATAATATATCATTGCGCGCAAATGTTCACGATTAAGATCCATCGTTTTAAATGAAAAGCGCGGAAAGATCTATATATTTTTTGAAAAACATGAATTGTAACCGAACCGTTAGTAATTACCATTTTTGTTGCGTGTGTGCGCGTGTGTGTGTGTGAGTGTGTGTATGTGTGTGTGTGTGTGTGTGTGTGTGTGTGTGTGTGTGTGTGTGTGTGTGTGTGTGTGTGTGTATGTATGTGTGTGTGTGTGTGTGGGTATGTGTTCGTGCAAGTGCGTGTGTGCGTGCGTACTGTTGCAGCCAAGAAAAAAAATACTAAACTTACTAGCACATTTTTATTGTCATTGAAAACTATCATAGGCGGCGGTTCGGCGGCGCACTGAGTTCATTCGGCTATGGTGTAATATAGACCGCAGAGTCAATTCAAACTCGGGACAAGTATAATTTGTATGGCCTATAAATAGTGTATTTATAGGTTCCCGTAGGTTATTCAAATCGCTCCCACTCGACACTGACCTTTAAACCGGTCATGAATGAAACGTTAAACACCTGCCTCATGAAAGGCTAGCGAAATTGGTAATTAGAAAGTGAAACCCAATCAAGTTTAAGGTTATTGGAACTTTGAAGGCTTAACTTTCTTAGGCTTCAGAATGGTCGTTAATTTTCAATCAGTTTCTTTTGTATGTTGCAAACATAATTTTTAAATTTAATTAAATGTAAAGCCCAATAATATTAAATTGAATTAAATTAAATTTATAAATTTAGTTTCATGTCCTTGGGCTTCATTAGTCACTTACTATCGGGTGGGCTGCAAGTTCCTTTGCTACTTCAGTTTCATAAAAAAAAAAACTTTAAATATGTTATAAACAATTTATTTCTTGGCTGATTTATAGTACGGCGGCATAGAATTTTTTTTTTATGTGGGGTCTTTGCAATTAATATTTCATTCTTTCTTTCTTAGCATATATTCATTATCCTTTCAATGTATATATATTCTTTGTAGTTTAAAGTTTTTTTCTACTGACTTCAAAAAACAGACGTTACTCAATTCGACTGTATGTTTTTTTATGTGTTACTTCATAACTTTTTTCTGGGTGAACCGATTTCGACAACTCTTTTTCTATTTGAAAGCTGGTACTTCGCATGTGGTTCCATATAAATTTGATCAAGGTCTGGCCAATAGTTTTTCAGTTATTCTTAGTAATTTATATTAGTTTGTAAAAAAAAATTAATTTTAAATTATTTAAATTCCCAATAAAAATATTGATGTCACTTTTCGCGATAAAAACTCAAGTTGGAGCAAGCAATTCAGATCTACAAAATTTCATTAAAATTGGTTAAGTGGTTTCGGAGTGCACCGCGAACAAACAATGTAACTTATTGTCTTAGAGTTATAAAAACCTATTCACTCTTGCCTTATTGACCCCCAGATTGTAAACGGAAAAGATATAATTACCGCTGAATAAACTGGTGGTGTTAGTGAACCTCCACCTCACATCATACCGTAGCGTCTTTCTAATAACTACTCAAAACAATAGTAACTGCGCTTGTCCCTGCCAAGGTTGTTCGTGATAGAGCCATGTTATGGTTCCAGTATGAATAGGTCGCTCGACCGGGGAATGGCCACGCTTTCACAGAATATCAGCATAAAATGCTGCTGTGTTTCGTATAATGTGTATAGAGAACCAGAGCTCTTTTTACTGAAAACAATGCATTCTATCTCAGTAGACAGGGGTGACAACGCATCTGCAGTTTAATTTTTAATCGAGGAAAGATGTAGATGTGTATAGGCCTCAGCACCCTTCTTACATCAGGTCGACTATGTACTCATTTGTTACCTTTATTATACAAAAAAAAACAACTTTGGAAATATGTCCATTACAAGGAAATGTATAGGGGAGGCTTATGTTCAGCAGTGGGTTATATATAGGCTGTAACTTACAAATATATTTCAACCCTAGAGAAGAAAAATAATTGTTGCAATCTACTGAAACTTCCAGCTATATACAAACAGAGGATGCTAGAGATATGTCACTGTTTTCGAGTATGACATGGTCGGCAGTCTCTCGAGCCTAACTAACCGCAACTAACTTTAATCAAAGAAGGCCACAGATGCGTTGTCATCCCTAAGGACTTAGACAAATGCCACAGAGTCTGTAATTACTTGTGGCTGAATATCTTATGTAATATTTGATCAGAATAATGTTTGTTACGATGAAATATTATGAGCCGCAGTAGCTCAGGGACTAACAGCTTATCGTAAGCATTAAGCAAGTATCTCGAGTTCGATCTCCGCCAGAAGCAATGGAATTTATTTAATGTTATTTAATTTAAATTAATTTCAAGTGTTGATTTATCACATGTTCAGCGGTTATATATATACTCGTTCAGAAATCAGTGTCGAATTACGGCTAGTTCAACATCGTATATATTTCATAAGTACATATACAATATGTAACAAAAATCCTGTGGTTCCCGTTAAGTACGTTATCAGGATCATTATTCAAACCTATAGAAACAATTTTTTTTTGAAAAATCGAACAATATTTTTTTTATTTGAATTAAAATAAAATAATAGTTTGCAAATTGTATGTGGTTTTATTACCTCTGCATTGTCTGGGGAGTAAGAGGATTGTCAAAGACCCTGTTTTACTTAGCTTTAGCATCGGCTAGTATCAGTAAGAGGTAATATAACCACATAAAATAAAATAAAAAATTATAAAATAAAAAAAAAATTAAGGTCGAGTTTTAAAAAAAAAAGTTATTTCTATAGGTTTGAATACTGATCCTGATTTACGTACTTAACGGAAACCACGGGGTTTTTGTTACATGTTGTATATTAATTAATATGTCTCTTACTTATAATTTATTTTTTCTTGGTTTTTGATTTGATCCTTTTCTGATTTTCGGTAAAGGTGACCAAAGGGGTGGACGAATGTTTATTATATTTGTGGCGGCACTGTCGTCGCGCCACAAGCGAAACACATCGAAGCCTATATCGCGCTAACAAAGTTCCGAAATTAAAGCAATATATATAGAATAGCTCCGAACTACCACTCGGAGCGTTGACCGCTTCCCGGGCAAAATAGCTTGCCCGGCGGGAGATCTAACCTTTTCCTTCCACCCGCCACATATTTATACAAGGTTATTTTGCAATAACCGGCCAAATTTTCATTTAAAACATCTCAAATATTCTGTTCTTTTTATCTTTTAATTTTAAAATACGTGGTAATGCATTATTTTAAGTAATTTTACGGCACACGCACACATTTGTAAGGTCCATCATTAGGCAAAAACGTTGTTGCCCATAAATCACATTCAATTTTGGATAATTTCAAATAAAATTAGATACCTTATTTGCTCGTATTTTCAAAAACAGCAATAATCATTATTTATATATTTGAACTGACGTTTAAAATTTGGCTACTTTTTTTTTTTTACTTATTATAAGCCAGTGCTTGACCACAATCCCACCTGGTGGTAAGTGGTGATGCAGCCTTAGATGGTAAATCGCACTGTCTTGTCGTAAAAAAAGTCTATTCACTCTCATTCTTTGAAAAATAGCCCTGTATATTATCATCATCATCTTCATTAATACAGCTCTTCACAAATCCACTGCTGAACATAGGCCTCCGTCAAGGAATGCCACCTGCATCCATCGACTATGTTATGCATTCATTTATTCATTTATTCAGCCATTCACTAGTCCATTGATGAACATAGGTTTACCCCATCTAGTACGGGGTACAACCTACACTTTGCTTACCCGTACGAGGTTGCCACTCAAGAGCCTAGTATACAACTCATATGTTATATTATTTATTTTGTTGGTTTGCACAAACAATGGTCTTTTCTGTTTCACGGTAAGGCCGACCCATTCATGTATCACCAAGTTCCACGCCAAAGGGGTGGAAAATTATTTTTTATATACAAATATATAATTAGTTTTCGTCGATGGATGCAGATGGCTCAGAACGGTGCTTTGTGGCGTTCCTTGAAGGCTTCCCTCAAGGAATGTTCAGCAGTGGACTTGTAATGGTCTGTAATGATAGTGGTAATGTTGACGAAATTGTTTGTTAACAATATAAATAACGTTCTAATAGTAATTTTTATCGTTTTATTGTTTAGTCCACTTAAAACTTAGAAATAAACTTATCAAAGTGAGTGTGTACTTATGTACGCACGTAGGAAGTTATACTTATTTAGCGTAACAAAACAAAAAAAATTGAGAGACAATTACCCACTGAAGTAACCTATTCGTTGGTTTACAGGAACCGTATCGAGAGAACTGCCTCGAAAAGATGGAGAGGATCGGTGCGAAGGATTGTCGCCGCTTCAGTTTGTAAGTAGTTTTTCGTTCTAAGTGTACGTTCAAGCAGTTTACGTGGCGTGCGGAAAACAATTGTAGCATCTAGTAACCTTATCTAGAATCATCATAAAAACACCAATAAAGTTGAAGGTACTCCGGGTTAAAAAGTACTTAGTCCCCCGTGACCATGGGTGCTATAAAGCACTTTAAATCAGGTTTTTTTGCGAAATCTCGAAAACTATTTGCAACATAGGAAAATAATTAAAAAAGTGTAAAATCTTTTAATTTACCTTAAAAAAGGTCTTACCACCCTATATCACTCATATTTGTGTTGTAAAATAATGTAACTGTAAAAAATATTCATACAAAATGTGTTATTGGCATCAATTTTTAAGATATAGAAGATAAAGTGTTAGGATTTTTTTTTGTGTAAAATTACACAACAAAGAAGAGTTGTTCAAAACTTTTTTATTTTTTTATAGGTATTTCCAAGGTTCATCGAAATCGGCTTAGCCATACCAAAGTTTTGTCAAGATAGACTGACTTAAATTTTTCTACAAATGTTTATTCATGTTTGGTATACAATTATCCTCTAAGTTAAAGTGATGCCATTTTAATTTTGTTTGTATGTATAGATGATATGTATATATATATATATATATATATATATACTCGTATATATATTGATTACAGTAATCTTGTCTTCAGGATTGTACTAGCTCAATATATTCTTCAATCAAGTGACATTTATTTAGATGGAATTTGATAAAAGAAAACACTGAAAAAATAAAGACAAAAATGAAAAGAAAAACGACGTCATCCACAACAATAGCGAAAGAAAATTTACGACATTCGCATTGCTTTTATCTAACATTAATAACCGTCATTATTTATGTTGCATGGTTTATATTTTTTTTTATAAAACTAAAGTGACAAGCGTACGTACAGTCCACCTGAAGGTTATTGGCTACTGTAGTTAATGTACACTTGCAGCCAACTTGAAACAAAGAAGGCTACCTTGCTGGCCTTAAAGGTTGTAATTATAATGATTCGCTATAACTACTTTCAGTCTACACAGTAATGCAAGCACTCATTTTTTGCGGCAGAAATAATTTTGCTCGACAATTGTTCAACGCTGGGTGCGCTCGTGCTGAAAAGCTCAAGCATATGACATATTTACCCTGGGTCGATGCTCAAGACCACATAGTTACGGATGTGAGCCATAAGAAAAGAGCCATTAACCAAGCCGCCAAGTACTGCAGAAAGGCATTATGGCAAGCCATTTTCGACCACACGTATCGGTACAAAACTCTCTGTCAAACCATCTGGCAATAGAGCTTTTCATTCTCTCGCCATAGCGGTCGAGACAAACTTCTATCGGTTTACACTGCCTCCGGTAGTAAAACCAGATGGCTCGTTAGCGCATGCGGCTAAGGAGAAAGCGTACTTATTTGCTTCTCTTTTTGCTTGCAATTCGCATCTGGACGGTAGCAACACCGCACCACCACTAAACTCGGCGGTGAAAGAAAACATCTTGAGGAAACCTGTATGTCTGAGAAATAAGAAAAAAATATATTTCAAAGACATGTGAAGTTCGCCAACACGTATTGGAGCAGCTCGGCGGATATTTCATTGCCCTAAAACCCTCTCAGAAATGCGAGGAGGCCTGTGCCCAGCAGTGGGACGTATATAGGCTCTAACTTTTTAACTTTTATACTCCTTCGTTTATAAATATTTCCCTTTCAAATTAGAAACTAATAATATAAAAAACGAACAATAGACCAATGGATCAGTAATGGCAATGGGTTAGTCTAGGAACTGAAACCGATGGGGACGAAAGGTTCTCAAGTTGCAGTCTCGTACTGGTATGCGAAGTTAAGTGTAACCGCAGGAGATCGATGAATGCATGATGATTATGTCTTGTAGCATTTCTTAGAGGAGCCCTATGTTCTGCAGTGAACTTGTGAAGGGCTGTTTTCTTTTACACAGTTAGCGAGCACACAGTCTAACTGATGATTAGTGTAGCTGTAAATACATTACGTCTATCCTCAATTAAGAATCAAAATGCAGATGCGTTATCACTCCTGAGAATTAAGATTTATGGAATGCCTTGTATTAAGGTTCCTCGGTTCTCTACACTCACCATACGGAACACAGCAGCATAAGCTGTTAATTTATGCTGGTATTCTGTGAGAGTGTAGTCCATCCGCGGTGGAGTCGACCAATTCACGCTAAATCTATAATATAGCTGCAGCAGCAGGCTCTTCCACGTTTAAATATGTAAAGATGATGATGAAAACGAACAATAAATTGCACCTCACAATAATTTATAATTCGTGTCGCATGATTTATTGAGTGAGAACAATGTTTGAAATACTTTTTCTTCATCAATTTATGGGTGTAGGCCTTCCTCATTGTAAAAATGATGTGTCTGAATATCGCAGTAGCAAAGGTTTCATTGCCGCTGATGCGCCGGTCTACTTATTTCACTCCTGTTGTAAAACGAGATGGTAATACCGCCATTTATCAGAAACCATATCATCTTTTTAGCGTTAAATATAGTCCCCTCTTATGACCTACATTGAACGAGGTGAGATGGATAGAGAATTCATGACCCATTCGGTCATTAACTCTCTACGGCCCCACTACACGGGTGACTTCTGTCATAACAAATCGGTTCTTATAACTTATAACAATAACACGTGGTAGAGCCACACTGCAGCTATATTATGATTGCAACACGAATTTGTTAGCCCGATCGAGGAAGGATCACGCTCTAACTAAATACCGGCATAAGATAGCAGATATGCTGCTGTGTTTTGAAGCATTTCATCTTAGTCTTCAGGTGTGATAACGCAATTCTATTTTGATTCTTAATCAAGGATTAATGCAGATGCCTATGGGCCACAGTATCTACTTACCATCAGGTGGAATGTGGGCTTGCTTATTCTATAAAATAAGTCTTAACAACTTAAATTTACACAAAACGTATTAATTAAAGTCTCGTTAGTATCAAAGGAAATTTCAAAATTAAATTAGCGCGTCCACCGAAAAGATTTGCAAAGATTAGTCCATTGTGTATTATTCTACGTAACAAGTCTTCATTTTAGTGGTCTATATACAGTGGTAGTTATCAGGAAACAAATTATTTATTTCATAAAATTGATAATAACATTTATTCCATTGCCGATAAAATTGATTAAAAATTTATTTCTGTCGATGAACATGAAAATCTCTATGTCAGCAAAAGAAAGCATTTCTTCAGATATTATATTGAAGTCTTTTCAGTTAGTAATAATTTGCGTCATAAAAAACGAAAATATGGAGTTATAAAGAAAGTAACTCATATTTTAACCGAGGTTAAAAAAAACGAGAAGGTTCTATTAATCGTTTTAAACGTAGTAGAGCCATGCTGCAGCTATATTAGTATCTATGGATGTTCCTTACGTCTGAAATAAACACTTATTATTATTATTATTATTATTAGTGGTAGTATAGTTGTAACACAAATGGGTCGGCTCGACCGGGGAAAGATCACGTTCTCATAGAATACTAGCGTCAAATAGCAGCTTAACACTGCTGTGTTTCGTATGGTGAGTGTAAAGAACCGGAGACCCTTTTTACTGGAAACGAGGCATTCCATCTTAGTCCTCACGGGTGACAACGCATCTGCATTTGATTCGTTATTGAGGATAAATGTAGATGTCTATGGGTCACAGCAACCACTTACCATCAGGTAGACTGTGTGCTCGTTTGTCACCCTTATTCTATAAAAAAATCTAAAGGGTAAAATAGGTCTGAAAATTTAAAATCTAGGCTTTATTCGTAATCCTTCTATACACGTTATCTTAGCATTAAATTCAGTTTCAAAATATTAAGGGGACATAATTTAATTTTTTTTATTACCCATACACTGCCCGAAAAAGTATCTAACTGTACAGTCAACCTTGCACAGCTCGAGGACCCTCTTCAGCCATGTATGAGGCACCGAGTCGAATGCCTTTCTGTAGTCTATCCAGGCGGCGGAGATGTTCCGACGGTTCCGTTTAACCACCTTTCTAATGACCGCTTCATTGAAAAGTGGTTCCTTGGTTCGACGACCACCGCCCCGACGTCCATTTTGAGGACGCGATATCAACTGATTTCAGTTTAGGTAACGAGTGATTCTTGCGCTCAAAATGGATGTTAGTGTCTTGTATATGGCAGGTAGAAACGTGATGGAGCAGTATTTGCTCGGGTCTGCGGTATCCTGATCTTTAGGAACCAAATGAGTGATCCCAGTAGTAAAGAGGCTCAGGAGCGACTTCTATTCGAGAGCCTCTTGAAACTGTCGGGAGAGAACAGCTTGGCACACCACAAACCCCTTTAGTCAGTAGTGATGTAGCCCGTCGGGTCTTGGACTATTCGGGGCCCTATGGACCACCTCAGCTACGTCATCCGGCGTTATGATGACGGGGTCCATGAGCATAACATTCGTACACTGGCTCGCCACAAATTCTGTCTAAGGGCTCTCATTGTGGTTTACGGACTCTGTCCACAAGCCGCGCCTGAATGCGACAGAGTCAGCCTGTTTCGGTGCCTGGCCCGTTCCATTTACCATTTTTCGGTTCAAATATTTGTAGAGCCTCTTCTGATCTCTCTGGAAGAGACGTTTCTGGTTGAACCGTGTCGGCCTCTCGGTACATGGCCGAACCCACTTTCTCCAAGCAGCGATTCTCTGCTTTAGGTCGTCTATGCGCTCCATCAGATTTTGCGTGATGTCCGACTTGGAAAAATTGATATTTGTCCCAGCAAACGCCATCCTGACGCTGCGCGCAATTCTCGGCCTGTTAGTGCCCGACCTGAAGCTTTTCTCTCTTGCCTTTGTGACACGGTCTTCAACACTTCTTTCTTAGGCTGGAATGGCGCTACTTTGTGTAGTAGCACGTTTAGTCACGGGGAGCTTGGCGCAAATAATACGACATACAGCAAGTGCGGCGCCAAAAATAATTGAGTCAGTCTCGCAAAGGTCCTTGCTGGTTTGTAAATAGGTC